CCATATCAGGTGCTTCTGTTTCCTACCTGTCCGGTTGCTTTGGCTGCTTCGAAGCTGATCCCCCCCTCCGCCCGGCCCCCTTTCCCCCTGCCCACAACCCTCAGTAGTAATGGTCAAGTTGCGAAGAAGGATTCGTCAAACATCTCTTTCTCCTTAATGTTCCAAATCTGACGTGAATTTGTCGGTCTATCCAATCAACTTGTAGGTTTGAAAATAGCGCTCACACAGCTCTCATTTGTTCACCTAAGTTGTTGGAAACTTGAAGAAGAACAGAACGAAGTGCTTCTAATGGGGGTGATACACCCTTACAAAATTTTGTTAAAAGCAAGTTATTGTCATTATGAACCACGAGAGACACACAGAGACACGCACACGCACACGCACACGCACACACACACACACACACACAGACACACACACACACACACACACACACACACACACACACACACACACACAGAGAGAGGGTATTTTTTCTCCATGACGGCAGGCGATCAGAAGTGGAGCTTCAGCAGGAGGAAGAGACCTTGTGCTGGATGCAAAGCTTTGTGGTCATCATTGTTGATACATCCAGGATCAGGCGTAATCGCAGTCTGATAGACCCAGGGACGATGTAATTGTTGTTCGGTACATCCACTAAACTCCCTGCAGTGAATATTCTAACAAAATTGAGGAGTGAGGTGGGACCTTTCTTTCACTCGGGTATACTCGGACGGGGGCTTTTCTTGATGTATCTAAGCGCCCGTATGGGCAGATAGTCCAGAAAGTGTTAGTGTGAGTGTGCCCTAAGAGAAGCGATTCCACATGTGGATGTCTCATCACATATCATCTGTTCTTGGAAGAGCAATATGCTTATGGTCTCTTGCTCCTCCTCTGTGTATCCTTTTTGTGGTTCCTCCGTCCCCCCCTCAAGGTAAGGGGGGGGGAGGGGGGGGGGGAGGCTTACCACAGGTTTGTTGATTGAATTTCGTGGCAATTGCTATCAGATATACCCACGAATTTCGCAATTTGATGGAAACGTATGTGGCGCAGTTAAACGGTCATCATACAGGGGTCTCAAGCGTATTGCTCTTTTTTTTTTTTTTTTTTTTTTTTTTTTTTTTTTTTTTTTTTTTTTTTTTTGTCTGCAGCACTATTGTAAATTCTGAGATTCAGCGTACTGATTCTTCCCTCATGAACTATTATGGGCCCATATTCTTCGTGCCTCGAGTAGAGAGAACCCTTGTCGATCATGAGTGTGCCGACTCAGGCGATACATATACAGCAGTACATTTGTAAATGTATCTGACCACAATTACAGCTGGACTCTATGAATCTGGTTGCAATCACATAAAGAAATTGGCAGAAAAGTCCTAGTATGACTGTGCCCTGAACCTCAGCAAAACGGATATGGGAGAGGGGAGACGGATTCAGACTGCGGGCTGTAGCTCAACAGTACATGGGTGTCCCGACTTAGGGCATTCACACAGTAGCACGTTGAATTTCTTAAACTGCCAGTACCGTTCCCGACTTGAAAATCAAAAACGTGCTGGTATATTCGGAAGCAGAGCAAGCAGGGATCGTCACTACCGGACCTTTTTTTTTTTTTTTTTTTTTAATGGGAACAATGCTCCAATCTATTCGTGGGGAGCAACAGGTGCTGGGAACCGGGCCCAGCGTACCATATCGAAAATTACATAGAATTTTGAAAAACAAATTGAGAATTTGCAGTACTGGGGCCACTACCCGGCTTTGCCTAAGAGCTAGATTAAGAGATACAAACAAGCTACCGAAAATAGGCAAAAATTCAGGAACAGACTCAGACCCCCCTCCATCCTCTTTACCTCACTCCGGCAAAGTCTTACTGCAGCAGAGCCACCATCTTTGCTGCTGCTATACCCTATTTCCATCCTACCAGCTAGCCCCCTCACTGGTAGAACGCTTGATATCCCGCCATCTACTTCCAACACCAACCAGCGTAGTTCTGACCGCAGATCTATGAATATAACAGCATCTCGAGACCACCAGAAGCAACTGAAAAACAATTTTGAAGGTTTGGGATACCGGGGCCATTACCCGGCTTTGGCAAAAAAAATTGGAGCCAGATTAATTCAGGAAACGCCTCAGAAAACCCCATTCATCCTCTTTACCTCTCTCCGACAAGACTTACTGCAGCAGAGCCACCATCTCCGCTGCTGCTGTACCCTATTTCCATCCTACCAGCTAGCCACCTCACTAGTAGGACGCTTGATATCCCACCATCTACTTGTATCACCAGCCAGCGACGTTCTGGCATCGAACCACCACAGATCTATGAATATAACCGCATCAGAGAAGCCCACAGTGAGTAGCAAGAACCCCCCAGAATCCTGAAGCGACCTCAAGACCACCGGAAGCAACTTAAACAAATCTAACTTACTCATGAGAAAAGAGACCCAAATGGGATTATCTGGAAGCCGATATAACCGAAAACATGCTGCCCCAATGCTATCAACAGACTATCCTACGGCTGCCTCAACCCACATATCCAAGATACCAGGCTCTTCCAGGCCTCACACCCCCAACCGCTCCAACCCACCCCAGCTCCGACCCGCGTCGTCCTAATACCAGCTTGCGGTTAGCCACTGGACTGCCTTCCACCCTCGGCAGTTCCCCAGATCTCCCCGCATACTCAGGTTACAGGGCAGCGCAACCAAACCCCAGCTCCGGCCAGCATTGTTCTGGCATCGGCCAACCCTAACCTTATGGACATGATGGCAATAACCCGCCGTCGGATAATCTGTTGAACACACCAGGGCAACTAAGGCTTCGAAATGCCCGGCTTCCTTCATGCACCGGTCGTGCTCAACACCCCCAAACCACCTGAACACTCCCCCTGACCCCCTCCGGCAAGACTTGGCACAGCGGAGCCACCATCTTCGTTGCTGCTATGCCCTATTCCAGTCCTACAGCCACCATCTCCATTGCTGCTATGCCCTATTCCATTCCTACCAACTGACCCCCTTGCCAGCAGGACGCGTCACCTCCCTCCCACTACTAACCCCTCTTAGCCAAAAGGCACCCCAGACAGGAGTGTATCACAACGGTCAGTGCAACAACAAAACACTAGAACACCGCTCTTAGGCAAGTCAAAACATCAGGAAAAAACAAGATTCAACAAATTCACGAGACCATTGAAAATCTAAAAAGTTAGAAATCGCTATTCGAGATCAGAGACGAAGCTCTGATTTACGATCGTCAATATGAAAAGAAGAACTAATCGAGAATTATTCAGAAATTTTTTAGTTCATTCATGAACCCACTATCTTGAATCAGGTTCGTGGATTATTCCTCACGAGTTCATTGAGAGTCTAAAAAGTTAGAAAACATTATTCGAGATCAGACACGAGACTGTGATTAACGATCATCAACATGAAAAGATCAAATCGAGAATTATTTGGAAAATTTTAAAATCATTCATGAGTCCGCTGTTTTGAATCAAATTCGAATTGAAAACCTAAAGCTACCTGTCATGAGAAATCCAAAACAGAAAAATCTAAAAGATTCAAATTCGAAAACCAACTATTAGAATCAAAACTCGGATTTACAATAGTCTGAAAATTGAAATCGAGTTACTATCTTGAAGCTACCTCCCAAAAAAACGAGATCAAAACGAAAAAACGGAGGTCAGTCAAGCCACGAAGAGCAACAAGCATCCCACAAAACTATGGATCGAAGCATATAAACTGACCTCTCATCATGATGTGTMTGTCTCCCCYAAACCTTCACCCCCTCCCTTRTCGG